TGAAGGAGTTTGGATGAAGGAGTTCATATCCTATCTAGGTGTCATACCTAGTGCATCGGGTCCAATGAAAATCTTTTGTGACAATACTCGTGCAATTGCCTTAGCAAAGGAATCCAGATTTCACAAGAGAACCAAGCACATCAAGAGATGCTTCAATTCCATACGTCATCAAGTGTCGGAAGGGGACATAGAGATTTCCAAGATATATACGGATCTGAATGTTGCAGACCCGTTGACTAAGCCTCTTCCACGAGCAAAACATGATCAGTACCAAAGCTCCATGGGTGTTAGAATCATTACTATGTAATCTAGATTATTGACTCTAGTGCAAGTGGGAGACTGAAGGAAATATACCCTAGAGGCAATAATAAAGTTATTATTTATTTCCTTATTTCATGATAAATGTTTATTATTCATACTAGAATTGTATTAACCGGAAACTTAGTACATGTTTGAATACATAGACAAAACATATTGTCCCTAGTATGCCTCTACTTGACTAGCTCGTTAATCAAAGATGGTTATGTTTCCTAACCATAGACATGTGTTTTCATTTGATGAACGGGATCACATCATTAGAGAATGATGTGATGGACATGACCCATCCGTTAGCTTAGCATTATGATCGTTATAGTTTCATTGCTACTGCTTTCTTCATGACTTATACATGTTCCTCAAACTATGAGATTATGCAACTCCCGAATAGCGGAGGAGCACTTTGTGTGCTACCAAACGTCACAACGTAAATGGGTGATTATAAATGTCCTCTACAGGTGTCTCCGAAGGTGTTTGTTGGGTTGGCATAGATCAAGATTAGGATTTGTCACTCCGTATTTCAGAGAGGTATCTCTGGGCCCTCTCGGTAATACTCATCACTATAAGCCTTGCAAGCATTGTGACTAATGAGTTAGTTGCGGGATGAAGTATTACGGAACGAGTAAAGAGACTTGCCGGTAACGAGATTGAACTAGGTATGATGATACCGACGATCGAATCTCGGGCAACTAACATACCGATGACAAAGGGAAGAACATATGTTGTTATGTGGTTTGACCGATAAAAATCTTCATAGAATATGTAGGAGCCAATATGAGCATCCAAGTTCCGCTATTGGTTATGGACCGGAGACGTGTCTCGGTCATGTCTACATAGTTCTCGAACCCGTAGGGTTCACACGCTTAACGTTCATTGACGATTAGTATTATGAGTTATGTGTTTTGATGACCGAAGTTTGTTCGGAGTCTTGGATGAGATTAAGGACATGACAAGGAGCCTCTAAATGGTTGAGACATAAAGATTGATATATTGGACGGCTATATTTGGACACCGGAAGTGTTTCGAAGAAGTTTTGAATAAAACTGGAGTGTCGAAGGGTTATCGGAACTCCCGGGGGAACTAATGGGCCTCGATGGGCCTTAGTTGAGAGAGAGAGAGGTGCATCCAGGACAGGCCGCACGCCCCCTTGGGTCTGAATTGGACTAGGAGGTGGGCGGCGCCCCCCTTTCCTTCTCCCTCTCCCTCTCCTTCCTTCCCCCTCTCTCCCTCTTGGTGGAAACCTACGAGGACTTGGGAGTCCTAGTAGGATTCCCCTCTTGGGGGCGCGCCTAGGAGGTCCGGCAGGCCTCCCGTTGCTCCTTTATATACAGTGCAGGGGGGCACCCCAGAACACACAAGTTGATCTTTTAGCCGTGTGCGGTGTCCCCCTCCACAGTACACACATCGGTCATATCGTCGTAGTGCTTAGGCAACGCCCTGCGTCGGTAACTTCATCATCACCGTCACCACGCTGTCGTGCTGACAAAACTCTCCCTCGGCCTCAACTGGATGAAGAGTAGGAGGGACATCATCGAGCTGAACGTGTGCTAAACGCGGAGGTGCCATACGTTCGGTGCTTGGATCGGTTGGATTGCAAAGATGTTCGACTACATCAACTGCGTTAACTAAATGCTTCTGCTTTCGGTCTACGAGGGTACGTAGACACACTCTCCCCTCTCGTTGATATGCATCACCTAGATAGATCTTGCGTGATCGTACGATTTTTTTTGAAATTACTGTGTTCCCCAACATGAGGAATCAGTTAAATATACGGGAAAAGAGTATCATGTCGAAGACATGGAGGAATTTAAGAAGGTGACTCAAAAGGTAAACCTATTGAACAAGTTATTCATGGAAAAATGGATCTATTTAGTATCTATCGGCAAAAAGACGAGCTAAGGGAGACAATGAATAGGTTTAAGCACCATCAAGATGGTTTCAATTGAGACCTGAGATGACGCATTCACCACAATGAAATATTTGACAACCATGTTGTTATCTCTTTTCAGTTATACCAATAATAGTGTCACCCAACATGACAGGTACACATGCTTAGTCTACGAAGAAGAATGATATTACTCCTATAAGGGATGGTGGAGTGCCCGCTTCCTTGGCGCCTTGTAGGCTAAGAGCGCTTCCGAACCATGTGTCACTCGGTGGCGTGCCGCGAGGGACACTTGGGAACGCTCTGAGGTGTCCGATCTGCCCGAACGGCTCGCAACCGGGCGACCTGGCTGGCAGGTCCATGACGGGTGGACCGCATGCCAGCCCGGGGCCACCATCATTGGGCGGCTCCGCGGGTGAGGCCCTGTGCAGGGGGTGACCCATCTGGGCAGTCCATGGCGGGTGGGCCGCCTGGTGACTTGCCGTGGGGGCCTCTCAGGGGCGTTCAAAGCCGTCCGATCTGCCCGGACTACTCTGGCTCAGGCAAGTGGTCTAGAAGGTCCATGACGGGTTGATTGCTTGTCGCTCCTGGTCTGGTCACCTCTTAGATGTCTGTGTGCACAACCATCCTCCTCATATGGAAACCCCTGATGATGTAGCACAATATAAATCAACATATACATAACATTCACATACCAAAGTTCAACCTAAAAGCGGCCATAGCAAGTTCAACGCAACACCAGACATAGTTGTTGTTCGATAGCAAAATACAATCTAGAACCATTTACTATAGATATGGTTAGAAATCACCACTCCCTCGCCAGGCACTTCCTCTTGGGGTCTCTAGAGCGGTGGTGGTATTAGAGCATCTCAAACAGTCGCGCTGGAAATTTTCGGTTTTTTCCGCGAGCGCAACCGCTCCAGGAGCTCCAGCGGAGGCGCAATAACCGCGCGCGCGGCATAAAGAGTTTAGCATGCGGTCCAAAACGACATCACGCGCCATTTTTTACTGCGCCCGCTCCCGCGAGCTGCACACTCGAGCGCCCGCTCGCGACTTCCACCTACCCGACCTAGGCGCCGATGCTGCCGCCCGCACCACCCCATTTGTTCCGGCGACCATTCCGGCGCTTCCCCAGCCTATCCCCGCACCGCTGCCGCTTCCTCCGTCTCCCTCCAGCCGCCACCACCCCTCGCGCACGTCATTCCTCCGACAAACAGCGCCCGGCCGCCCACTGCCGCTCGGCGCCCACAAGGTGTTCGACAAAACACTTGCAAGGTATGTATTGCTTCAACTTCACATTTTTACATGAATTTGGTGCATGTTGTTTGTAGTTTTTATAGCCTAGTTTAAATTTATCATTGTAGATGAGTCCGTCATATGATTCTTCCGAAGAAGAATTTGATATTGAAGTGGAGGAGGATCTTGCACGGTGGTTCGGCTATGGGTCGGCAGAAACACATGTTGGTGTCCAGAAGGATCTCATCGAGGAGTGGTGGGCATAGAATGACCGACAAAGAGCATCATGATTTGTATGTTTGATGTTGTATTGTTGAACTATTTGTTCTATTGCAAGATAAACTATGTGTTTGAGTTGTAATAGTAAAATTGATCTATTTATTAGTGATTTTATTTTATTTGTGTTTGATCTTCTTGGTTGTGTTTGGAGTGCCTATTTTGTTTGTGCGACAACACGCACACAGTTTTTTGCAGCGGCTGCTGGAGCGGCTAGCGCGCGCTAAACTTTTCAGTAGCCGCTGGAGCAAGCGCTCGTCGCCGTGCAAAAACTCGCGATCAATGCGCTGCAAACGCTTTTTTAGCGCGCCGCAGGTTGTGCAGCTGTTGGAGATGCTCTTAGTAATCTTTGGTGTAGGCATCGACAACCAGAGGAGGGTTGTCTACTTGTCGCCGTCGTCGTCGTCGTCGTCGTCGCAGGTGGTGCCCCGGCTGTCGGACAAGCAGATCCTGGCAAGACGCGAGGCGGGCGGCTTTTGCCAGCGCGACGACCTTCTCCTTTGCGAGCCACATGGACTCCTTGCTGCCGAGCCGAAGCGGCTTGGTATTCTTGTAGCGGCGGCTGTGGGCATCCATCTTTGTCGAGGTCAATGACCGACGCGTAACGTCACAGATGAGGTCGTCCTCCTGCTCGGCGAGCGCGGACCGCAGCCAGAATGGCTACAACCAACCTCCGCCACCCTCTACGCCACCCGTTGCCTCAAGTGGTGTGCGGCAAGTGCCTCCGATTTGGGTGTCCGCCTCTGCGATGCGGGCACAAGCACCCATCACCGATAGAGAGGAAAGGGCCTTAGGGGGGCGGGCGGGCGCGGAAGGCGATGGACCTAGACAAGCGCGGAGGACGACGGGCCGATGCGGTCGGGCACTGAGGCTTGCCGAGCGACCGGGGACGGTGAGGAGCTCGAACTTCCGCCCATGTCCATCTGCGACCGACAAAGGACAATGCGGAGAACAAGCTCCTTGTTGTTCGGGGAGAGCAAGCACCTTTGAAATTTTGAAAAGTTTTTTTTTGACGGATGAAATTTTGAGAAGTTGGGAGTTCGAACTGATCTTCTTTTGTCGTCTTCTCTGCCAGAGGATTGAAACGATTCGAGCTGACCCGAAGAACGCTGGACGTGACCCTTCCTTTTGACTAAAGCTGTCAGAGCCGCCTGAACCGAGTCCATGTGCACCAACCAAACCCCCACTTCCTTCTTTCCCCACCACGCCACCGCTCACGGCCTCACGGGCAGAAGCACAAACCCCTCCCCGTACTTGCCAGCCTGCCACACACAGCGTCGCCGGCAAAATGCCCCTCCTGCTCCGACGCATCGCCGGCGCCGTCGCGGCCCCCCTCCGCCGCTCTCTCTGCACGGCGGCCCCGCGCCCTCCCTGGGCCATGGTGAACAGCCAGGCGGCGCTGGACGCGTCAGGGGCGCCGTCGCGGGGCGCGCGCGCGCTCGTCGACCTCGACACCACCCCGTGCGTCTCCCGCCTCTCCGTCCCCGCTCGCCTCGTCGACCCCCACGGCGACATGGGTCCCCTCGTGGGCATCGTCCGCAGCGCCAGCTGCGACGGTCTCCTCCTCCTCGACTTCGTCGACGCCCGCCCGCGCCCCATATGGCCACACGAACTCGCCGCGGACCGCGGCGGCGTGGAACCGGACGCCAAGCTCTTCGTCTGCAACCCTCTCAGCGGCCAGCTGGTTCGCCTCCCGGCCCCCGGCATGGACGTCCCCAAGATGAGCACCTCCTTCGGCCTGCTCACCCAATCCCAAGGCCCCCACGGCCCGCCGGATAGGTACGTGGTCGCTCAGCTCAGCAAAAGCAGTCGCGGGGGAGGGGAGTGCCGCAGGGTCGTTCGCCGGTTTCTGTCCGAGACAGGGGAGTGGGACGAGCGGCCGCTGGTCGGGGTGGTCGAGATGGAGGCTGCGCGCAGCATGCTCATCAACCATGAGGTGCTAGCGTTGGGCGACCGGCTGTGGTGGGTGGACGTGGCCTGGGGTGCCTGCTCCGTCGACCCCTTCAGCGACCGGCCGGAGCGCCGCTTCGCCGAGCTGCCGCGTTGCAGCGTGCTGCCTGCTTCCGATTCCCCGATGCTTCCGACGCTGAGCAGGTACCGGCACATGGGGGTCAGCGAGGGGAAGCTGCGCTACGTCCAAGTGTCCAACAGAGACGACAGGTCGTGCGTGATCCTTTCATTCTCGCTGGATGACGAGACCTACAGCTGGGCGCTGGATCATTCAGCTCAAATTACAGATCGGGGCGACCGCTGCCATGTTCACATTGCTGCCATAGATCCATTCAAAGCCAACCTTGTGTACCTCCAGCATAGTGGCACTGTCATTGCCATGGACCTGGCTAAGAAAAAGGAGATTTGGAGGAGTTCCCTTCCACAAGAAATCTTCTTCGAAAGTTTGCTCCGTGGCAGTTCTCTTGTTCCGTGCGCGCTCCCAACATGGCTTGCCACAAGCCAGATCCCCTCTTCTGCAGGTACATATAAGCTTCATACACTTGATACCGAATCATCCAATCCAAAGTTTACTGTCCTATAATTGTTAGATTGTCATGATTTAGTTTGTTAATGTGCACAAATTGCATTTGTATTGAAGATTCTGAAGGATGTGACGATATCTCACACATTGTGGTTTAATAATTGCACATACACTTATACTTTTCTGAATTAAACTGGCCACTGTTACCAGTGTTTTTAACCTTTTTAGGATATCAGAGGTGGAATTTGGCATCGCTAGAGAATCTGATGTATTTTATTGATTGCATTGGTCATGAGATTGTCTATCATGTAAAAAAATGGTTTTGCCGATCTAATTGATGTCAGCATGTAGATATGCAATTGTCCTGTTAAATGCCTAAATGTTGTTCTCCACTTCAAGTCTTGATGCAACGATGAAACATATACTCCTCATGTTGCTCTGTGTTATTTTTATTTAAGTTTTTGTATCTGTTAATTGAAGGAACCCTTTCAACAAGCAACAAGGCCGATTGCAAAAAGAAGACCTTGGCAGACATGCTGGTTCGCGTAGACAGCTAACTTATCTCCGGTACACTCTATTAAGTAACTCTTTCTTGTTTAGGTACCCTTCTTGATTTGTTTGCTATCTTGTCATATCTTGTTTCTTCTTGTCCCATGATTCTGCATTTCTCCTACACTGCCCATAAAATGTGTTACTTGCACAAACAACAAAGTTTTGGTCATGTTTCCAAATCACTATGTTGAATAATTATACTCCACCATTGTTATCCTTAAATCCAACTTGTCAGGATTGTATGCACAAACTGCGGCTAATTACAGGACAGGACACTTCCTTTTCTCCAATCATGCTGCACTTTTAAATGAATAAAAATATGATGCTTGAATATGTTGGGACTAGTCAATGAACCGGTAGCACGGCGACAAACTTAGCTTCTACTTCTTCTTGACTGTTATAACCGCCGGAACTGCCTACTGTGCTGGACTGCTACAGAGTAGTATTACCTTGTCTGAACTACTCCCTCCGTTCCTAAATACAAGTCTTTTTAGACATTTCAAAATGGACTGCAACATACGGATGTATGTAGACATATTTTAGAGTGTAGATTCACTCATTTTGCTTCGTATGTAGTCACTTGTTTGAATCTCTAGAAAGACTTATATTTAGAAACGGAGGGAGTACTTCATTACCCGGTCTGACTTATCCCAGACATAAAATTAGGACAAGGCTAAAAGATGATTGCCTTTTCAGCATGATAAAGATGTCTTTCACTAGTCAACATCCTGAAATGTTGTCAACAAAACATGACTGAACTGAAGCATGGTGCTTGCTATTTCATACCAGATTACCATACCGTATATTGACCTCTGACCAAAATTGCAATGACTGAACTGAAGCATGGTGCTTGCTATTTCTTACCAAATTACCATACTGTATATTGACCTATGACCAAATTTGCAATGCTATCTAATAGTCCTTCAACAGAAGTGTTCCCCAAGTATGTCATCACTAAACCTATTTCTGTTTACTACTTTGCCTTGCAGATTCCTTAAATTTGACCAACAACAGAGTTGAAGGTGGCATCTGAAAGACAAGAGCTCTTATTTTTAGGGAAATTCTGTGACAGTCTGGGCTTATTTTTTGGGCTGATGCAATTCTCTTTTCAAGGACGGATGTTCTTAAATATTTTGGATAAGTGTAGGTGCACACCTATCAGAAATCCAACGTTACTTGCGAGTTGCAAGAGATCATGCTTATGTTCTTTGTAAGATGTTAATTCCCTGAAGTGTTTAGCTCTGACATGTTTTGCTTTGTATTCATCAAATCTGGGATATGCTTGATTGGATATTTGGATGCTGATGATGGTAAATCTATGAATTCTCTTTATGTTGCTACTAGATGCTTCTGCATAACTAGAAAACGGACCTCTCACTGGCATTTATGTTATTTTGATATAGGTTATCAGGTATGTGTTGTAGAGCATACCTTTTTTGTCGAAAAATCGGTCATATCCATTGTAAACCAATATTCATGTTAGAACTACTGTAGTAGAATGCATGTATTTTATACTGGATGACTGAAATGTTCATTAGAAAATATGGATCCAAAGTTGACGCTATTGTATTGATGATGGTGATGACTTTGTAGGAGAAACAGTCGGTGATCTACCTACTGTGAAAATTGTGTTAATAAGTCATGATGCAGAGACAATAAAGTACAAACAACCTAAGAACTACTCCGGTTCTTACATTATGGGACGGAGGGAGTACAAAGGTGGAAAACCAGCCTGCTGTTAATAAAATGGGTCATAGATCGAATAATGTTCGTTGCTAAACATTTTTCCTCTAAAATAACATTGTTCTTTTCTTAAACGAGGTAGACTTGTTCATCATGATAATCTAGTCACACACTGTAAGACAATAAGTTTTGGGAACCAGCACAACCCTCTAGGGGTGGCTTATCTCATTATATATAATGGTTCTATTACAATACGTACATAGGTACAGAAGCTATACATAGTCTAACACCCTCCCTCAATCTTAGCCACTTTCTAAAGAACTGAGAAGGGTAAGATTGCGCCTACCAGCCTCAAACTGTGGCAGTGGTAAAGGCTTAGTGAAGATGTCTGCAAGTTGATCCTTAGATGAGATAAACTTGATCTGGAGTTGCTTCTGTGATACACGTTCCCGTACAAAGTGATAGTCAACTTCAATGTGTTTCGTTCGGGCATGAAATACTGGATTTGCAGAAAGGTATGTAGCACCGATGTTATCACACCAAAGAATAGGAGGCTGTGGTTGAGACAAACCCAACTCCTGAAGCAAAGACTGCACCCAAATAATCTCTGCAGTAGCATTAGCCACAGCCTTGTACTCAGCTTCAGTACTGCTACGTGACACAGTAGCCTATTTCCGAGCACTCCAGGCGATCAAATTAGAGCCAAAGAATACTGCATAACCCCCCGTGGATCGCCTGTCATCTGGGCTACCAGCCCAATCTGCATCAGAGAAGGCCGAAAGGACCCGAGAGGAAGTCGGCCGAATATGCATACCAAATGTCAGGGTGAACTGAACATAACGAAGAATGCGTTTAACAGCAGCCCAATGAGTATCTCTGGGAGCCTGAAGATACTGACAAACCCTGTTAACAGCATAAGAGATATCTGGTCTCGTGATCGTCAAGTACTGAAGTCCACCAACAATGCTCCTGTACTCTGTGGCATCCGCAGGAGACAAAAGCTCACCATCAACAGCTGTTATCTTGTCAGTAGACGACATGGGTGTGGTGGTCGGTTTGCACTTCAGCATGCCCGCTCTTTGTAACAACTCCAAGGAGTACTTCTTCTGCGTGTATCTTTGCCGTCATTGCCAAGACCAAGGAAGCTTCGCTGGAAGCGCTTATGACACTTGGAGGCCCAGTGCTCATCGCGGCCACAAAGCTGGCACACACGTGGACCACCAGCCCCCGGTAAGGTCGCAGTAGGTGGGGGGGCCGAGGCGGGCGACGGTGGCAGCCCCAAGGGAGACCGGGGTGATGAAGAAGAGCGGCCACCCTTGGTGGCGGCGTTGGCCGAGAGGGAGCCAGTGCCCCTGGTGCGGCGAGTCTCGACCCGTTGCTCAGTGAGAAGGAGCCGAGAGAAAACCTCGTGTGCCAGCATGGGTGTCGAGTTGCCCCGCTCGTTGATGATCTCGACTAAGGCATCATACTCCTCATCAAGACCATTGACAATAAACGAGTTGAACTCGGAGTCGGTTAGGGGCTGTCCGATGGAGGCCAATGTGTCGGCGAGGCCCTTGACCTTGTTGTAGAACTCAGTGGCAGTGGAGTCAAGCTTCTGACACTCTCCAAGCTGACGACGGAGTGCAGAGACACGAGCCTGGGACTGCGCTGCAAAGGTGCGCTCAAGGATGGTCCAGGCCTCATGAGACGTCTTCGCGAAGACAACAAGGCCGGCAACTGCCGGCGAGAGCGACCCCTGGATGGAGGAGAGGTTCGCCTGGTCCTGCCCCGTCCAGACGCGATGGGCCGGATTGTAGACCGGACCGTGCACGCTGTCTACCAACGCGGGTGGGCAGGGAAGCGATCCGTCGACGTAGCCTAGCAGGTAGTGACTCCCCAAGAGCGGGAGAACCTGCGCACGCCAGAAGATGTAGTTGTCGGCGGAGAGCTTGATGGTGATGAGATGACCGAAGTGAAACGGCGGCGGCGAAGACGATCCCATCGAGGAGGCTGCCTGGGGTGCAAACACCATGGAGGCAGCCGGAGGCACCGAAGCCGATGCGGGAGGAGGCGGGACCGCAGCCAGGGCGGGCGCCGCAAAGCTCACGGCCGGTGCGGACGCCGCAAGGCCCGCAGCCGGGGCGGACGCCGCCAACCCTGCCAGCGGGGCGGTGTGATCCGCTTGCGGCAGGAGCGGCGGGACGACGCCTGCGGAGTCCGCAGCGGACGGCGGCGCCGCGATGTGGACCACGAGATCACGCCCGAGCGAGGGCGCCGGCGGCGTGGAGAAGACAGAGCCGATGCTCCTTGTCCCGATCGGAGCGGGAACGGAGACGGCATCGAGCGGGAGGTTGAGCAGAGCCGCAAGAGAGGCCGGGAGGAAGCCCGCAGCAGTGGAACCGGTGGTGGCGGCGCTCGACATGGCGGCGGCGCGATCGGTGGCGCGGCGGCGGCGGTGAAGGCGGCGGCGGCGGCGGCGGCGGTGCGGGTATTAGGGTTTAGAAGCGGAAGCGATCGTAACCTAGCGTGATACCATGTAAGACAATAAGTTTTGGGAACCAGCACAACCCTCTAGGGGTGGCTTATCTCATTATATATAATGGTTCTATTACAATACGTACATAGGTACAGAAGCTATACATAGTCTAACACACACGCAGCGGCTTGGGCATGACGGTGGTGAACTTTGGCTGTTCCTGTCAAAGAACTTCACACACGCAGCGAGTGGGACGAGCGCTGGCAGACATAAACCACGAGGTAGTGGCCTTGGGCGACCGGCTGTGGTGGGTCGACCTGAGCTGGGCCGCCTGCTCCGTCGACCCGCTCAGCGACTGAGCGGAGCACCGCCTCGGGGCAGCTTGCTGCCTGACATGGTGGACGCCGCGGCGACTCTGATGCTGGGCAGGTACCGGCGTATGGGCAGCCAGCCAGGGGAAGCTGCGGTACGTCCAAGTGTCCAGTAAAAACCAACCGTTGGTGATCAGTTCGTTTTCACTTGAGAGTTGAGACTGGACGACGAGGGCTGCAGCTCGACTCTGGAGCACAGGATGGAAATCAACATGATCTTGGCCGACAAATCCAAACCAGTGGAACACAACATGCCGTGGATCCATTATCTCGTGTTAACCATCAACCATGACCCGTGCAGATCAGCTCCGTAATCCTCGGATCTCACCAACCCCCGCTACCGTGCGGCTCCAAGGGGCTGCACCGGGGCGCCCAGCCAGCCGCCGGGGAGTCTAGCTTCGGCCTGATCTTCCCTCGCAGCCGCCACAGGGGGCTGCCGGGCAAAGCCCACGCGGCGCCGGCCTTCTCTTCAGGGCTAAGGCACGAGATGGCA